ATATACACCCACATATTAAATATATAATATACAAAAATTCTGTGCGTCTCCTGGGGTCTAAGCCCCCCTTGTCTTTAAAACCTAGTGACGCCCCTGCTGGCATGACTAGCTTATTGCGCGATGACTAGGGCTGCCACGATTAATCGACGACTAATCGATTATTAAAATAATCGATGACTAATTTAATAATCATTTTCTTTTTTTGTTCTTTACTTTGTTTACTTTGCAAACTGCTTTGACACCTTCCACTGCCACRTCTGCCTTTCTGTCCTTGACACACATGCACAGTAGTGGTAACTGGGGTAGGCCGTGGACGTCACAAGACATTATACAGACAGGCTCTGGTATCATGGCTACCTGACAACAGAGCTCAAAGTGTGGGATCATTTTAAGAAAATGACAGAGAAACCTGTGTAATATCTGCAGAGCAGAACTTACCTTCCACAGCAATTATTTTTAGTTAGCATATAGCTAAAATCTAACCATGGTTATATAATAACAGCTGCATTCTGGCACTATAACTCTGTTTTATATTCAATTAACGTATGATCTGATTAGTCGACTAATCGAATAAATAATCTGTGATTAATCGATTATAAAAATAATCGTTTGTGGCAGCCCTAGCGATGACTACATAAGAACTTATTGCTTTAGTGTTGCAGTGTCTCCATGGTTCCTCTGCCCCTGAGGAACCCCTGAGGAATCCCTGAGGAACCCCTAAGTGTGGCTCTGGTTTGGGCCAGGCTACACCAGAGACTCGCACACAGGCGGGTTGTCAGAGTCCTGGCTGTGCATGGAGCTCAGCCCGGTGTCCGAGTCCTCGTCGTTGGTGCTGCAGGCCTTGGACAGACCCCGGACCTGCTCCACCCAGCCGCTGCTCCCCTCCGCTGACCCCGGGTGGGCCTCAGCGCCGGTCGCAGGCAGCTCCTCCGAACCGGCGTCAGTTCTGTTCGCTGGCTCGATCTCCATGGTTTCAACTCTGGAGAGCAGGTCCAGCAGTTCGCTCTCTTTGGTTTCCCAGAGTGCCAGACTCAGGTCCAAGTCCCCTCTGATGGAGTCCAGGTCGGTCTTCAGCCTCAGGCCGATGTACAGGCTGGTGTCCAGCTGCGTTTTGACCCTCTCCTCCTCCAGCAGGAGCTCGTTCTCCGACAGGCTCTGCGCCTCCGGCTCCGCGGCTGGATCCGAGGCGGGAGGAGCCGTTTCCTCCGCGGGGCTCTCCTCCCGCCGCCGCTTCATCCACCTCCGGTTCAGCTCCTCCTGGATCTCCGCGGCGATGCTCTCCAGGAGCGCCTCGCGCTCCGTCAGCTCCTCCTGCAGCCGGACCACCTCGTCGCAGCGGCGCGCGTACTCCTCGAACTGCGCGAGCGCGTCCTCCTCCGCTCCGCGCGCGTCCTGCCGCTCCGGGGCCAGGGGCTCCGCGGAGGACTCCACCATGTACGTGTCCTGCACGTAGTTCACCCCGTGCCTCTGGATCCGGTCCAAGTGCACCTCGGCCTCGTAGTGCTCGATCTCCCGGTCCAGCTCCTTGATCCTCTGGACCTGCTGCCGGATCGTGTGGTCCTGGGAGATCACCAGATGGACCAGCGTCTCCATCTTCTCCACAGAGCCCTGATCCTTGGGGACCACCTGCTCCTTCTTCTTGTTCATTTTGTCCAGCTTCCTGAACGCCTTCCTGACGATGCGCCGCTGCCGGTCCTGGGACAGGCTGGCCGCGGCGCTCCAGCAGCTCTTCGCGGTGCCCTTGAGCAGCGCGGCCGGACCCCCGCTCTCCCGGCTCTGGACGACCCGCGCCTCGGCGCTGCGGGGCCCGTTGTTGGGCAGCGACGCGTCGCTCTTCACCAGGACGAAGCGCACGTTCTGCTGCTCGGCCCCCCACGCGCTCCACAGCCGCAGGATCCTGGTCTTGTTGGGCAGGATCCTCTCGAAGCCCCGCCACTTCTCCACCACGCAGTAGGACTCGGGGGACCCGGACAGCATCGCCGCCGAGTCGCCCTGCTGCAGGTTCTGGTCCTCCAGCAGAACCTTCACCATGTCGGCGCAGGTGGTTCGCCTCGTCAGCCCGGAGACCAGCTTCTCCTCCCGGCAGACCCAGACGGAGACCTTCCCCTCCTCCGGCTCCATGTCCGGATCACCCCCCGCGGTGGGGAGGACAGTTTTTAAATAAAGCTTCTCAGTTAAAAAGACAAAAATGTGTTTTTATGCTGAAGTTCTGACTCCATTCTGCGTAAATCACATAAAAACTAGAGGTCCTGCTGATGCGCGCCTGTCGGTGCCAAACAGGTTCTGCTTGGTTCCGATCCTTCAGGCTGAACTTCTCACATCATCACGGTCCCTCAGAGATCCGGGCTGCCCGCCGGGTCCTCGAGCCTCTCTGCCCCGCTCTGCGCGCTCCGGAGAGGACCGGAGCGTCCGACAGGCTGCCTGTGCTCTGCTGTGGGACAGGAGGCTGCTGGGACTCCTCCTCCTCCTCCTCCTCCTCCTCCTCCTCCACGAAGTGAAACCAAAGCTTCCATGTGTCTGTGCCACAGATTTATTCTTCTGCTCGTTTTACTGTAAGATTTAAATGTTTTCATTTCACGCTCTGTTTCTCTGTTTTTTTCCACTCAGAAAATATATTAAACACATAAAACATGTTTTATAAAAGATGCAGTCTCTTAAAAAGTGAATTAATGCACTTTTTCCTCATGAAACACATTAAACTCAGAACTCTGCAGAGCGATGAACTTTTTGAGCTTTTCCTGAATCATTTAAAAACTTGAAACAGAGAAATCCTTGAATCAGTTTGTACACGAGTCATTAAACATTTTAACTCAGTGGTTCCCAAACTTTTTATCTTCTGACCCACAAAATATCCATGGCAAAAACTTGTGACCCCAATTATTACTGGTCTGAGTACACGAACTTTGTTAATAACCATAAAAACACAGGCTTTTTGACTTTTGTGTTTTTGTAATAGTTATTGGGAAAAGATTACATCAGCAATTATTTTATTATCCTTTAAATTGATTTCTGGAGATTATCCAAGGTGCTTCATGACCCATAATTGGGTCCCAAGCCCAACTTTGGGAACCAAAGTTCAGTGGTTCCCAAACTTTTCAGCTTTGGACCCACAAAATAACAGCAGCAGAGACCTGTGCCCCCAACTGTTTTTGGATGATAAACATTTGTATCAGGTCAGCAAAACATGGGCATAGTAACAATATTTTTATACTACATTTATCCATTTTAAATACACTAACCTCACTCCTTTGTAACAACTAAGGCAAAAATGTAATTAATTCAGAAAATCTTTTCAGGACCCCACCTTGATGTTTCGGGACCCCGCTTTGGGTCCCGACCCCAAATTTGGGAAACACTGTTTTAACTGATTTTGTTCTCTATTTTAGTCACATCTTACCTTCTGTTTGTATTTCTTGTTTTTCTTTTAATCATTTGATTATAGTCTAATATCTTTTGAATTTGGTAATGTGTGTGTTTCTTTCTTGAAATATATTTTTAATCTCAATGAGACCTGGTTAAATAAAAGTTTGAATAAAAATTGAAGGAATGCGTATCACCATTTTATGTTTAGAGTTTAAAACTAAAATCATGTAAAACTGACGGAGTTGGAGCAAACTTTGTGTTTGTTAATGTTTGTTTTTGCTAAAAGCAGGCACACAATCATCCATTCAGGCAACTGGCAGTTTGATTATAACTTTATCATCTGCATGTTTGTTCCTGTGTGATACTGGTTGCTACGTCTAGAGTATGATTCTCGCTTTAGGTGCGAGAGGTCCCAGGTTCAAATCCCAGACGAGCCCCCAATTTGCTCCTAGATGGGGTGTAACAAATTGGGGGCTCGTCCGGGATTTGAACCTGGGACCTCTCACTTTGCGAGAGGTCCCAGGTTCAAATCCTGGACAAGCCCCCAATTTGCTCCTAGATGAGGTGTAACAAGCGAGACAAGCGAGAGGTCCCAGGTTCAAATCCCGGATGAGCCCCCAATTTGTTACGCCCCATCTAGGAGCAACCAGGACGTAAAAAAAAGGTGGAAAAATTCCCAAGCAGCAGGAGATTGAGATGTTTTTTTAAGTGGCTAATCTTTACCGTTCTTATTTTTTATTTATTTCGAAGAGCTGTGAGAAAAATACAGCCATCTTTACATCTGTTTCAGCAAATACAACTTTTACATAAAGTCCAATGACTTGTGGGAGGAGATTGGACAAGTTTTGTGCAGGGAGGAGACAGCGTGGAGACACAGGCGGCACTTTTTGTGGCTGTGCTGGTGAGATAACGCACCTCGGCTCGTCTGTTGGAAATGGTGGCTGTCTCGTTGGATCAAACTTATCAAATAACGTGTCTCCTCTGTTCTTCCTCCTCCATCAACTGAAAATAAGCATCAAACCGAGCTGTCTGCGTCGTCAGTGCATGGTGTGTGAATTATCCATGCAATGCAACAAAAAGATCATCTCACCAACATTTTAAGTATAACCTGACCTTTAAAGCCCAAAGACTTTTAAAATATTTATCTTTATCCTCTGTTTTTTTATGTTTCCTTCTAAACAGTTGTGTCGACTTGAAACGAACACATCTCTTTATAGCCGAACCTTATTAATCAGGGGTGCCCAAACATTTTCCCCGAGAGGGCCAAAATGAAAATCTATCCAKRGMWGYGGGCCAAATGCAGTAATATAATACATGAAATACAAATACAGTACTTTTGTTAGTAAAGTCCTTTATTTTTAACGACTAAGCTGTGCAATGGCCCTCTTTAGTTTTAGTCTTTGCACTTGGAGAAAGTCTGCCATACGCTCAAGTAGCAAAGGCTCATGGGACATTTTATAAATTGATAAAATCTGAGTTTTTGTGGCCTTATAAAGTGTGCAAATCTACATGTGGGGTTAAATCTGATCTAAATATTTCTTGTTGTCATTTCATGTTTAATCCTTTTAAATCAAAGATATGTCAGCACCATAAATGAAAACCTTCACCACAGCCCTTTTATATAGTCATCTGACCAATGGAAATACTGTGTTTCTACACAGGATAACAGGTTACAACCTTGTAACTTTGGCAACTGTTAGTGGGCCAAATCAAATGGCTTGGCGGGCCAAATTTGGCCCGCGGGCCCCACTTTGGGCTCCTCTGTTATAAATGTTTCCTGGCAGAGCGGTTCTGAACAGAATGAGGCCAGAACTGTGGGTAAAACATTTAGTCAGCAGCGGTTCACCGCAGCGTGCGTTGTTCCAGCCACACGTCTGTGTTCTCCACGTGACCGGGCCTTTCTGAGCTCAGCTGGACGGACTCACAGAGCAGAAGGAATTCATCTTTCACACTCTGCAGAGTTCTCACAGAGCGGCTGAAGCTGCAGATCTGTTCTCTGCACGATCGTTGTCCTCCAGCACCAGGTTTTGTCAGGAAAGTAGCTGCTCAGACAACCGGCAGGGACTGGGGTCACGCTCGGACGTTTGCAAGAAGGCACCTTTTGGACACGAACCGTCAGTGCTGCTCAGAGATGTGTGTGTGTTTTCACACAGGAAGGATGCATTAAAAAGTATTATTGGTGCTGAAATGTGAGCTAATATTGTCTTTTTTTTAAACATTTCCTGTGAGGTTGCACTGTCTGACCTGCAGCTTTGTTACTTTGAACACGTTTCTTTATTGAAACTTGTCACAGTTTTGAGCAACATCTGGTGATTATTTTTATTTGAAGTTGTCAGGGTTTTTGTGAGGTTTTAAACAAAATAAGTTTTTCAGAACATAATTTTAATAAAAGGTGTCATTATTTAAGAAAATGACATCACTGCGTTTGTGAATTGTTACAAACTGAAGCTGCAAATGACTAAAGAGTAACATTTCTTTGACAGTGGCGCCCTCTGCTGGTAAAACAGAAAACTGCACTTCTGAAGGCACAGATTCAAAGATTTATACAAAATATAAATACACTGACGTGGAGACTCTGGTCAGCCTGCAGCCACTGACCTCAGCAGAGCAGAACCAGTGTTGTATAAAGCAGTGGTTCCCAAAGTTGGGGTCGGGACCCAAAGTAGGGTCCTGAAACATCAAGATGGGGTCCTGAAAAGATTTTCTAAATTAATTACATTTTTGCCTTAGTTGCCTAAAATGTATAAATGTAGTATAAAAATATTGTTACTATGCCCATGTTTAGTTGACCTGATACAAATGTTTATCATCCACAAATATCTGGGGGCACAGGTCTCTGCTACTGTTATTTTGTGGGTCAAAAGCTGAAAAGTTTGGGAACCACTGCACTTTGGTTCCCAAAGTTGGGCTTGGGACCCAATTATGGGTCATGAAGCACCTTGGATAATCTCCAGAATTTCAAGGGTAATAAAATAATTGGTGATGTAATATTTTCCCTATAATTATTACAAAAACACAAAATAAGTATAAATAAGTTTTTGTATTTGTGTAGCCTTTGTTTTAGGGTTATTGACAAAGTTTGTACTCAGACCAGTAATATTTGGGGTCACAAGTTTTGTGGGTCAGAAGATAAAAAGTTTGTGAACGACTGGTATAAAGTACCTCAAAGTGTTACTTGAGTAAAAGTAAGTATCTTATCATAAAAATACTTTGGTAAAAGTTAAAGTCTTCTCTAAAAATATTACTTGAGTAAAACTCTTAAAGTATCTGATTTTTTTGCACTTAAGTATCAAAAGTAAATTTTGGACACAAAATCTACTTAGTATTAAAAGTAAAAGTACTGAGTAAGTGAGCAGTTAGATTTTGCAAAATGACATTTATTGGGAGGTGACTTCTCAAAAACTATWTTTTCTAACAGCGTGCAGCTGTGATGGGTTGTGTACAAGCTAATAGTGTGTCAGTTTGGTATATATTTGTACTTCTCATCCAAACACAATTAAATTCACTCTATCCAGGAGACACAATTTATCAGGATAGTATTTTTTAAGTAATAACTCAAAATAAAATAAAAGTAACGACTTTCTACTTCTTACCTTTTTAAAAAATGTAGTGAGTAGAAAGTACAGATAACTGTGTAAAAATGTAAGGAGTAAAAGTAAAAAGTACGCTGAAAAATAATTACTCAAGTAAAGTACAGACACCCAAAAATTCTACTTAAGTACAGTAACAAAGTATTTGTACTTAGTTACTTTAAACTCTGAGCAGAACCAATGAGCTGTGATGGAGGCGGTGAAAGTTTAGCCTCACTTCAGGTCCTGATGAGGGGCTAGATGGGAATAACTCCTAATCCACAATCATCTCTGCTCAGATAATCTCTTCCCTGGATCAGTTTCTGCAGCACATTCAGGTCTGGACCCGAGGTTCAGGTTCAGCATCCAGACTTGGGCCCCCTGTAGAACTCTGTTCTGATGAGGCAGGACCGGGTCATCTCTTGGGTTTATTAACAGGATGTTCTGCACAAACAGGCGAGCATCGTTTCACTGAGTCCACTCCACGAGAAGAACCAGTTTTTCAGCGACACTTTTATTGTGAAGTTTTACTTTCTTTCTGT